GTCAAACCCAGGGGCATAGTGCGGCTGGAAGAATTAGGTCTATTTAAAAAATCTAGTGATCTCATAGGGACTTCAACCCGCGACCTTCCGGCTTGTAGCATGGCCCCTCAACCAACTACGCTACCGCAGTCATGGATTAATTGTGGTTCTGTCCCAATCTCTACTCAGACATCCTGAAAAAATCACGACAAACCTCAGTAAAAATAAACGGGTCTCCTTCCCAGATTCAAACCGAATACCTCTTGAACACAAGTCTGGAACATTATTCCTGATTCAACTTGCGTGGTAGGATATCAAGAATTTCACGAAATTTTTTGAACTCTATTTAATACCTAGGGCCGGAATAAATCTAGAAAATCTACACACCAGAACTGAAGGAGTTTACTTGAATTTCCATCCGGAAATACCTTTTCAGAGTCCCAGCCCTCGTTTCGTTTCCATATTGTTCAACATAGTGTCGCTGTTTCCTCTTTACTTTCGGAGATGAAATTTCAGATAAAGTGCTGAAAATTGATCTGCGAGTTTTGAAATAGCACGAAGCGTCACATCATCTATTGCGGAACATATTCGAAACATCCGGGGGTGGTGAGGATTGTCTTCTTATCACCAATTAAGGGTTGTTACGCTGTTGACTAGAGCCATGTAAACTAGAGTTTTGAAACGTCCACATAAATACAATTATTCGTAGAAAGTTTGAGCATATTTTTTTCTTAAATGTCGATTCTAAGCGAGAAGGAATAACATTGAAAACGAGACAAGTCAGACTTTTCGGGAAAGAAAGAGGGTTGGGACTCGAAATGTATACTTTCCGGACCCTTTCCTTGTTGTGGTTTGCAGAACCCATCTTTATGTTTATACTGAAGATTAGGTTACTCTGTATATGAAAAATACAGGGTTATTGAAAAAGAATGAACCGATTTCATGACGCATTGCTTCAGTTCTCAAGCATCGTCATGGAATGAGTCAGTGACCATTTGAAAGAGGAGTTATCTAAGTTGTGAATGGCTTCCACAGGGGCGCTGAAGTCGCATCGTTCTTCCGGCAACCATCAGTTGTTCGTTTACCCTCGGAATGGCGAGTCCTCAGCAAAAGACGTTCTGCGTTCTCGAGTTTGCGAAAACAAATTCAGTTGTCACGGTGCAGCGTGCTTTTCGAAGGCGATTCGGCATTAATCCACCCTGTCCTAAGAACATTCGACGGTGGTTTCGACAGTTTCAAGAGAGTGGGTGTCTATGTAAAGGAAAAAGTCCAGGACGACTACGAGTCTCAGCGGAACAAGTGGCGAGCATTCGTGCTGCGTTTGAGAGGAGGCCGCGGAAGTCAACAAATCGAGCTAGCCGTGAGCTTGAGATCCCTCAATCCACGGTCTGGCGTGTGCTAACAGTACGTCTACATTTGAAACCATACAGACTGCAGCTCGTTCAGGCACTTACCAATGACGACAAAAGGAAGCGGACGGAATTTTGCGATTCGATGCTGGAGATGATGGAAGACGAAACCTTCATTTCACATTTAATTTTTAGTGATGAAGCGACTTTTCACTTGAGCGGCACGGTCAATCGTCACACTGTGCGTATTTGGGGAACAGAGCACCCACATGAAACAGTTGAACACGATAGAGATTCCCCTAAGGTGAACGTCTTCTATGCTGTGTCTCAGGACAAGGCTTATGGTCCCTTTTTCTTTCAAGGAAACACCGTTGCAGGACAAACCTATGTCGATATGCTCCAAAACTGGCTCTTCACTTCACTGCAAGCAGATTCGCATGATTTCATTTTTCAACAAGATGGAGCACCGCCCCATTGGCACCTGCTGGTTCGAGCTTTTTTAAATGAAAAAGTGCCCCAGCGATGGATTGGTCGGAAGGGGGCCCAAGACCTTGCTCTTTGTGCTTGGCCTGCGAGATCCCCAGACCTCACCGTGTGTGATTTCTTCTTGTGGGGATATGTAAAAGATCACGTTTATGTTCCACCGCTACCCACTAACCTCGATGACCTTAAACATGGAATAACAACAGCGATTAACTCAGTGCATCGTGATATGCTGATACGCGCCTGGGAGGAATCCTCTTATCGCATTGATGTTGCCCGTGCTGCAAGTGGGGACACATTGAACACATGTAAGACAGGAAGTAAAAGTTGATTGTGAGTAGAATTCTTGTGACTTGGCTGGAGTTTTATATTACTTTCCATTAATAAAATATCGCGTAATAAAATCGGTTTATTCTTTTTTTTAATAACCCTGTATAAGAATGTTCGTTCAGTTTCTAAACTATCTCAGGAAGAGATATTTTCGCAAGATGTGTCTAAGCACATACACTCTGATTACATTGTGCAAAACTTGATTTGACGTATCATGGATACTGTATTGTTTGCTGCATTTTCGATTGCTTCAATGACACTGTGCCAGCTTTGCAGGGTGAGATCTGCAGGATAATTTGCTAACTACCAACAAGGAAGCAGTACTCCATTGTGGCCAGTTTTAAAATTCTCTCAACACACTCGTCGCTCTTCATGAATATGAAACTTGCTATCCTAACTTGAAGGTAGAATATATGTAATTTGAGGGTGTGGGAAAATATGGAACTTAAGTTTAAAACAAAAAGAAAGATGAAACAATAGGGAATGGCGATAAGCTCTCAGTGAGGTACATTACAATTTGTACCCTTTAGAAATATTATTGCAGAACAAATTCAAGGAGGCTGAGATTAATGGAGCATGCAGCATGACGTGAGAAATACACAAGAAAGTTTAGTAGGAAACCTTGAAGGTAAGAAACTACTTAGTAGCCCTGGACTTAGATGGGAGGATATTATTAAGACGTATTTTAAAGAAATAAGGTAGCGGAGTGAAGATAGGAATAGGGGGCGGGAATCTCTTATCACATTGCTGAACTAACGATGTATCAAAAACTGTAGATACAAGAGTAAGACGACATGAATGGAACAGGAAAATAATTATCGAGGAATTTCTTGACTAGCTGAGTGATTATTAGTTTCTAAAGAAGGATCATGCTTCATAGAATTAATCAGTTATATAGTTTCCTGGTATGGTCAAGGAAATTCACGAAAGATTCAATCAGTATATCTGATCACAAGCTAAAATCAGTTGGATGCGAAGTGTAGACCAAAGAAGAAAGACACAGAAAATATTGTAGCGTGTAGAACCTTTACTGGGTAACTACGGCGAAACAAGCAAGAAAACAACATCCGCGTAACAGATTTTTAATAAGCAGCCATTATTGAATAATATCTTCGCACACAAATATCTTCCAACTGCATCGACTTGAGTACAACAATGAAAGGCGTTTCGTAGGGGTCCGAGCAGAGATAATATAAAGAAGATAATTGGAGTGAGATTTCAGAGTTGTAAGGTAATCAGTGAAGAGAAGACTCAGGAAAGTTGAAGGAGATTTTCCGGAGAGTACGGAAGTAAGCGCGGAAGCTGAAGTATCTTCACTGTTAGAAGCTATCACGAGGGAAAGACGGGCGAACACACAGAAGGCTGCAAAATCATGGCGCGTGATGTAGTGAAACGTGCTAATTATCGGTAGTATTATAGTCGCCTGTAATTACGAAATATAAGTGGTTAATAAATCCAATCTCCAGTCCAAACCACACCAATAATCACTCTATCACTCTAACACGTGGCAATATTTTGATACACATTTTAACCGAGCTCATGTTAACTAAAATCTTAACTGTGTTGGACTTTTGTTCATACGACGAGATATGCATCCAGAAAGAGAGAAAAAGAATCGTAAGCTCGTAATTTTTATTTACTTGAACGTAAATGAACAAACTAAACCCGTACACGTGCGGGAATGCGAGGACGACAGCGTTGAACAGTCTGTCAATATTCTTTAAATTCTAACGAATGAAACTTCATTAACAGCAGTGCAGATTATACGACCCTTGCAAAACTCAAAGTTCAGCACCATACAGATCAATCTCGCCCGTATCTGAACCATTCTGTGTTTGGACGAAAACATTTGCGTATTTATAGAGTGACTTGACTGAGTGAGTGACTGACTTAAGTATTACTGAAGAACTACGTAAATCAGTCAAATCAGAGCTACCTTTTGTTGTTGGACAGAAATTTCGTCGAATGGGAGATTAGTATATGAGGGCATATTTAAAATAATAATTGACAGCAGGAAACCCAAGTACTCGGAGATGTACCTGTAGCATTGCTACTTTCGTACACCCGAAATTCCACACGGACTATGCTGGAATTGAACCCAGGCCTGCGAAGTGAGAAACCTGTGTCTAACCATTATGATACGGGTCTAAAATAGTGGATAGAAAAAGGTAAACGTAAAGTAGTCCTGTACTTAATTAATTAAGCAGTTAAGCCCCATCCAATGCAAACGTACAGAGGAGTGGAAATACACGTAAAGCTCCAATCTTCTTGCCCTCAGTAACATATTTGGATGGGGCATGCGGTGGCGTAGTTGGTTGACGCACTATGCTAGAAAAAAGAAGGTCGCATGTTTGAGTCCCGATGTGGATTTCTTTCAACTTACCTGATACTTCCAGCTGCACTATGGTGCTGGGTTCGACACAGCCCCTAGCAGAATTGAGTACCAGGAATATTCTTGGGGATAAAGGGTAGCCGGCGCGTAAGGCTGACAACCTCACCGCCATCTGTGAGCCGACTGCCTAGACAAAATGTAGGATCCTCGACGTCTCACAAACCTATGGGCCTTCACGGCCTGCTACAGGGATAGATTCAACTTTCTACTACATGGTGGGGAATGGTGAGCTTCACGCCTCGGCCCTATTATTCTAGGAGAAAAAACACAGTCCATTTGATAGGATAATGAGTGAGTCTCAGAGCAGATTTGGAACAAATATATTTGTTACTGGGCATCACAAAATTCTAGACTAGTAAAGAAATACTTTTAATTCTGTATTATAGCATCCTGTTGCACCTTTACAGTTTTGTTATAAATCGTATTTTACAGTCTCATGTGCAACTATTTATTAACTTAAAAGTTTAAAAATGTGAATTTTTAAATTTAAAATTTAAAGGTTACACCATGTTTCGGCCAGTATGGTCATCATCAGGTGTTAGATTATATCTAATGGGAAAACTGCTGCGTTCTGTTGTTGCTGCTGTTTCATGTGTAGGTCTCTCGAATGCGCACACGTGTTGCTTCTTCCTGCTGAGTTCTTCGCTGCATGTGACACGATATGTTGCATGGTGTACAATCTGTGTCACAATAATTAAGAGACCGTTATTATTGAGAGAAGATGAAATCGGAGATATACATGAAACAGATACTTATACAAACTTCTGAGACCTCTGTGACCAGCAGAAGGGTCCGCTCTCGTTTTTGAAAATCAGTATAAATAATTCAGTATTTTTATTATTGCTAGTGGGGTGGGACTAAGTCCATTGTACTGCGGCCACTTCTGGCCTATTGTACCAGCCCCAGATGATAGGTGAGTGTGATTGTGGAGCAATTGGTGGAATGAAGATTGGCGGGAGAAACCGAAGTACGCGGAGAAAACCTGCCCAACGCCACTTTGTCCACCACAAATCCCACTTGACCAGACCCGAGATCGAACCCGGGCCGCGGAGGTGGGAAGCCAGCAACTAACGGCTTGAGCTATGGCGCGGCCAATAATTCAGTAACCACGTACATTGCAAAATACTTTCTGTCGACGAATAATAAGTTGGCTGTCGTGGTGCCTCTTTATTATAATCTGACTCCACATAATTATTATTTATAGGGCTGTTTTAAAGAGAAAACTGTAACAGAATAATCACGAAAGGGAAGAGAAGTAGTGAAAACGTACAGAATGAAGCACTATCAATTTCTCGGCAAGGAGTTCAATTTCTCAGTGTCATGGTCGCCTGGTATCAGACATGTCTGACATCTATTGGAGGCAGTTCCCAAGGCCTGCTCCAACATTCCGTGTTTTACGAGTATATCTCGAATTATACAATGATAATGTCGCAATCTGACGGCATTTTTCAGGACAGGTCTTACGATAAATGGGTCACTTCTCTACCTCGATAATTCTTTTGTAGATAGAAGAAAGCTGAAGCTGAGGTGGTTGTAAATGAAGGTGTCAATATGTTACAGTAACTTTCATACAGTCCCTTATTTTCATTATTCTGTATTCAAATCTTCACCTGACTTCTTTAATATTATACATTATACCAGCTCTTATTGCTGGAGATATGCAGCGCTATTAGAGCGCGCAGTTCTAGTTTAATCAAAAGGGAATGAAACTGATTACATGAACATGATACGGCTGTTTCCTAAGGAGATTGCATTTATGTAGTTTATAGGCCGCGCCATAGCTCAAGCCGTTAGTCGCTGGCTTCCCACCGCGGAGGCCCGGATTCGATCCCGGGTCTGGTCAAGAGGGATTTATGGTGGACAAAGTGGTGCTGGGGCAGGTTTTCTCTGAGTACTTCGGTTTCCCCCGCCAATCTTCATACCACCAACTGCTCCACAATCACCCTCACCTATCATCTGGGGCTGGTACAATAGGCCAGAAGTGGCCGCAGTACAAGGGACTTAGTCCCGCCCCACTAGCAATAAAAAAAGATGATAGAAGTACGCCAGTAGGGGTGCCAACCATACACTATCAGAACAACACTTAGCTTACTGTTTCTTGTTTTACATGCTACTGCTCAGGAAAAAGAAGGAAATGCTGTATAGTTTTTCTTTGGCACTACAGCCCCAATGGGTCTAGGCCTACCTCCATCAACTTCTCCGTTCACTTCGGTTTTTCTAGATCTTATACATTCGGTAGGGCTCCTTTGGCGGGTGATCAGCTCGTCGCAAGGCCTCTACCTGTACACAAACACAGAAAAACGCACATACACAAACTAAACATCCATGCCCTGAGTGGGATTCGAACCCTCGATCCCGGTTTCCAAGCGAGCGAGGACGGTGCATGCTGGATAGTTACATATACACTTTCAAATCCTTATAATTTAAAGAGCAGAATGAGATAATTGCCCTTTCCAGCATCACCCACTGTGTGTACAGATCTTCAGTCAGAGTCAGAGTCAGAGTCACGTTGCAACTGACGGTCAGTCAGTCTGTCTGTCTTGGTGTCGAGCCCCAGTTGGGGCTACAGATCTTCAACAACTGGCCCACATTATGGCTAAGTACACAGCTCAGCGGGGGTGTGAGAGAGGCTGACGAGTTTGCGATATGACAGACAGAGATGGGGAAACTCGAAAATAATAGCAAGGCAGTGTTTTTATTGAGGTTTGGTCGAATGATCTGGCTAAAGGATGCTAATGCAGTAGATTGCTTGGGACTTAATCTGATGCAAGTGTAAGGGATGTTTCGCCCAACTCCAAGCTGAAGAACAATATCTTGTCTATTTCAATGAAATAAGTAAAAGGAGTACTTCGAGACACACAATATAACATAAACAGCTCTGTTTGTAAGTAAGGGAATGAGGGTTGGACGGCTGACTCGAACTAATTAGACGAGGCCAACGGTAATAATATGACAATATATATCTCTCCATAATGAGCTTAAAACTTTGCATGGTTGGTTCATTTATTTTTGAGTTCATATTAAGACGAACGATGAAAAAAACTTAAGAGTTGTCGCGTCTGTTTATAATTATCACAGTAATGAACAACATACGTACATGCCAAGGCCGGTATTTAACTAAATATCCAGACACAGTCCCTCAAATTCATTCCAATAGGATACTTGAATTACTAGGAATGACTTTAACTGTAGCTTTGTTGTTATTGTTGTCGTTGTACAAAACGTGCGTATTGCGCTCTACATTTCTTAACAATGCATGTGTTATGGAGTATCCTCTTTTGAAACCATACTGATTGCTTCTGATAACGTTCAGCTTCGAAAGTTGGAAGTTCAGTTTTTCAAAATGATTTCCTCATAAAATGTACCTAAGGAATGTAGCATGATTATTGGTCTATAATTCAATGGGGACGTGTGATGTTTACCTGGATTCGGAAGCACAACACTTTTAGCCTCTTTATATTGTGTGAGAAAATAAATAAGCGTAAGTGATCTATTAAATATGTTGGCAATAAATTTGAGAACTAACTGCGGCAGCTGTGTATTCTGTGCCCTGTCAGACCCTGCTGCTTTGCGTGGTTTGAGGTGGCGGACGGACAATCTAGTCAATTTCAGAATATTTCTATCCCTTTCCCGGTCTGTCAGGGGCTGTTCAAGGAAGTCATTCACTAGCTGTTCAGTGCTCGCTGTAAAGGAACAAGAAGCATCCGAATTTGTAATGAGAACTTGTTCCAAGGTATCCACACGAGCGATTACTTTTCCCTGAGTTGTGGTCACAGTTTTCCCGTTAATGATAAGGTGTGATATATCGGGATTAGTGTTTGTTAAGCTCTTAGTTATCCTCTAAGTGTCTCTCATGTTGTTGTCATCTATCCATTGTAAAGCCTTCTGCCAAGCGTTCGACAATTGTTCTTTGATTGCCGAATATATTTGCTCTTTTAAATAATTAATGATAGGGCGAAGAGTAATGTCATGTGTTCTTTGCCCCTGGGCCCAAAACTTCTTCTTCTTCTTCTTCTTCTGAAGGAGAATAGGAGTAGAGGTTACAATTTGCGTTTATTTGAAAGTTCTCTTTTTCAGCGGCATGGAATAACGAGTAAATTTGTTGAGAGTGTCAGTAAGGCCTTTAACGGCTATACCAATCTCGCTCTAAGCCCATCTCTAAGCACTGAGTATTGAGATTGTTTACTATGAAATTCTGAAATTGTTCCCCGTTACACCGATAATTTTGTTATGCTCCGTTCTACGTTGGTTTCCTCCTAATGGTCTCTTTCCTTCTGGCTTTTCCAGCAAACACTGTATGCATTCCTTTTGGTAACCGTGAGTACTACACGCCCTGTCCATGATATCCCCCTTAATTTCTTCATGCCTCTTATAATGGAGAATAATCTTCTACATGTGTGTAGAGTTGCATGACAGTATGACCAAGGCCACTGTGCAAATTCAAGCTACTCTAAAATAAGAAGGGGCTTCAGAAAGGTAGGTCATTTACGACAGACACAAGTCTTCCTGCTATAATTCGCAGTCGTTGCAGAAACCTTAATGCAGAATTATGGCAAAATCCCCTCCATCCTCTAGCTGGTCCAGTAATGGTGACAATTATAAAATACCATATAAGTATAAGCCAATTAATTTGTGCTTGAAGATTACAGGAAGGCAATTATTTTACATTCACTTTATGGTCTTCACGTTTTCATTAATGCTGACCTAATATAATTGCCAAAGAAAGGAATTCCTGAGCATCATTTACTGTTACTTGTTCTGTAGCATATTATATGAAAAGTGTCCCAAAAGCCACCATTATACGAGATTTCAGTTATTTAGCAAATTGTGGAAAATTTAAGGACATAAAATTTGTTGCAAATCATGCGTTTCCAGTTTCAAGTGTTGGATCTTTATCTAAGTCAAGCCGTTATTGCGATACACAATTTAAACATCAGTAGTAAAATGTAAGACTAATTTGCCAAGAGAGCATGATGGTGACAGGGGTATGCGTTTCAAAGACAGAGAGAAGCAGTAATGACAGAGAGACAGGTATAACATTTTCTTTATTAACACATAAATTTCATATTTACAGTTTACTCTTGATGCGTACACTATGAAACAGAAACAGTGAATAAAACCATTGTGTTTTAATATACTTATACCAGAAATATTGCAGTGTGGCCAACTGTGGCGGAAAATCTACAAAACCACACATGGGTGTGGAATATCACTGAGGTTTTGTATTCACTACAGCCTCGTGGCAGCTTCGTTGCTCGTACGCGTAAATACGGCGCCACGTGCTAAAACACACAAAACACACTGTCGCTGGGGTAATGCTGAGGACGCAGCAGCGCATCAACTTTTCTCGGACGGTCTTCTGAAACCACGGATTTCACGTGACCCCACGAGGAAGGAACCAAGGGTATGACGCATGAGCGCTGCAGTACGAGAAGAAAACAAATCCGGCTTCAACGTAGTACAAACGCAATTAAAGATCCTCCTTTTTTTTTATTGCTGTTTTTGAGGAAACAAGTCAAGAATTCATTTTCTTGTAGATGTACAAATCATGATCAAGAATATAGGCCTTTTTTATTTCCTTTATTATTCCCAGTGGGGTGAGACTGAGTCCACTTCGTACTGCGGCCACTATTGGCCTATTGTACCAGCGCAAGATGATAGATGATGTTGATTGTGAAGC